TTATGCTTTTTTGTTTTGTACTAATCGTTCGATTGTTTTCTTGTCGTTGCAGCATCCCGTATGCCATCGTCCCATACATCACCGCAAGTGTGTCGGCCGCACTTTCATCCGCCCCTCGGTTCATGGCTTACCAGCGAGCATAAATCATTCGCGCCCGCCAGCCCATGGGGCAGTCCGTTTGCATGCCCTCAAGATCCGCAAGTAGACCATAAGGTTGGCCAAATTGGCCAGAGCCATCAGACGGCGGCGGGCCAACATTCGTTTCCGTTCCCACCGACACCGCCAAAGGATTCCACACCCGACTCAGTACAAACCGGTCCCTCGGAGTATCAGGTGAGCATCTCGTGTAATGCCAAGCGATTGAGTAAATGCAAAAGGGGGAACAATTTTATTGACAAAAATTAAAAAAAAAAAGATTATTTAGAACAGTCACCTAATAAAAATTTTTTATAAAAAATTGGGAACAGGACGCTGAGGTTTTTGTTAATATAATTTCAACCATATTCAATGGTTTGTTACTTTTTAGTCACGTATGTTAATTAAATTTCAAAATGTGTTGTTATTTAAATTTTTCTAGATAAAAATTGTGGTTGATCAAATTTTTTTAATGGGTTTCTATTGCATTCACTCACTCTTGCTTCAGTAAACGAAAAAATATTTATACAATTTTTATTTATCCTTGATCCTGATCAAATTTAACTTGAAAAATTTAAATTTTTCTATTAATTATTAAAAACTAAAATCAAAGCACTGTGTTTTTAAATAAAAATCAAAATAGAACAGTTAAAATTGGATTTATATTTTTCAATAAAAATTTAAGCATTATTTTCAGATAAAATTTGTTTAGATTATAAAAGATTTAAAACGGTTATAAAACCGCTGTCTCCATCATAGTGCTAAAAATTATTGAAAAGTTATAAATCCCAAATAAGTACTATTTTTGATCGATTAAAATAAGAATCTCAAAATAACGACTAAATTGACTGAAGAAATAATAAACAAAATTCAATTAAATCAAAAAAGTCTTTGATCGCAAAAATAAATTATTTATAAATAAAGATATTGGTATTTAACGGTGATTTCCAGTACTCATTTTTACGGTTAAAAAATTATTGAAAAACCAGCACTACAAGAAAAAAAATCGAAAAAATTTGACCGAAAAAAAAAATCCAAAATAACGTTGATTTCGGTTAGGCTAAATAAAAATTAAGAAATAATAATTTTGATATGATCCAAAAATAAAAGATCTTCACATAAAAAATATTGGTACTAGAAACAAATCAAAATAATCCTTATTTTGGTTACTTCTTTTAAGATAAAAATAAGCCCTTAAATATATGTATATCTAAACTTTGATTTTAAAAATTCCATTTCCAACCCTTAACTCTTTTCCTCGCCTCTTTATCTCTCTCGCCCTCTCCTTTAGGCCGTTGTGAACGCTTTCATGCACCAGGCGCAATCCTCCTGCTCTACCTCACTAGCGGACACGAGTTGTGCGCTGGACATCAAACCCTCCATACAGAATGGCCTCGGCAGCCTAACGCACAATGGCAGCCAGCAGTCGTCGTCGGCGCCAAAGCAACGTGAAGGTACTAACAACAACAACAACAACAATAATAATAACAATAACACAAATAACAACAACACAGCGAATAGTAGTAGTTCGCAAAATAATAATAACAACAACGGCAGCAATAATAACAATAATTCCGCCTCAGCATCCAACAGCAGCAGTCACAATCTACATACGCACTCGTCCAGTGCCAATGCCATCTCCGCCCTTAACGGATCAAGCCTATTCGATGGCACCGCGCAAGCGCACTACGCCAACAGTCTAGGCAACAGTAGTAGCGGCAATAGTGGACTCGGTTTGGGTGGTAATGGCCTAACAGCCAATTCATCGCTTGGCAGCGCGGGTAGTAGCGCGAGCGCTATGGGCGGCTATGATGGTACATATGCCTCTTATGCGGCGCATCACCACCTGGCCAACACATCGGCGGCGGTGGCACATCATCAGGCAGCCGCTGCAGCGGCGGCGAATATGTTTCAAAGTTCCTCAATGGCAGCGGCGGCTGCAGCGCGGCATAGCATGTCGAGTGGCCATCATTCGCATCATCATATGATGGGTGGTGCGACGACAGGTTCGTCGTCGGGCCTGGGCCAGAGCCATGGTGGCAGTAGCGGCGGTGGCGGAGGCGGCAGCGGTGGCCTTGGTCTAGCTGGTTTAGGCGGTGGCAGTTTGGGTGGCAATATGTCGGCAGGTAGTCATGGTCATGGGCATGGTCATGGTCACAGTCATGTGCATAGTCATGCGCATAGCCATAGTCAGGATGTGAAGCCGGCGCGAACGAAACCGAGGACCAGTGCTGGTAAGCAAGACAAAAATTGACCCATTTCATATGCAAATGTGATGGTGTGGGTGAATAATATATGTGTATATTTGTGGTTAGAGTTGTGCCTTAAATGTTGACAAAAAAAAATAACTAATTTAACAAAGCAAAATGTTATTATTTGCTTAAGTTGATGAATATCAGAGAGAAATGCTGTAATATTGCATAACCGTTAGCTATGAAAAACAGTGCATATACCTATTGGGATATTATAAATATATGTACATTAGGGCGGATCAATATGAGTGATAGATTTTTTCTACTATGCACGTATAGCACAAAAGGATTCTATGTGTAATTCTAGGCGAATTTACCGAAGAAACAATGGGTCTAAAATTAATTTCGAGTTGGCTAAATTGCGAAAATAGGTTTCTTAGCATTTTGCTGTGGTGCCGTAAAAAAGTGCCTAAATTTTGTCTAAAAATATGCTATAGGGCGTTTTTTGGTATGAGGAATCCATTTCTGCACCTCTTTTCTTATTAAAACTTTCAACAGAGGGCGCAACAGTGAAAAATTTCACATTTTCTCCGAAACATATTTTCACAATTTGGCAAGCTTCAAATTGATTTCAGACCCATGATTTCTTCGAAAAATGTGTTTAGAATTACTCGTAAAATCCTCCAGTGCTATGCGCTCATAGTAAAAAAAAAAAAATGACCCGCCCTTATGTATATATAATTGAAAATGATCAAAATTTAATTAAAAAATTATCGGACACACAGAAGGCACAACCCTATTCAGATTTTTCATGATTACATTTTTGTTATTACCGTACCGTATTTTACTAACACACATATTATTTTAATTAAAAAATTTAGTTTTTAAAGTATTTAAGTTTTAATTATTCATTTTAATCATATTAATTTGGTGATTCTTACTGTCCATATTTACAATTCCACTGGCTTGGTTTAAGATTCCTTTTGAATATAATTTCTATAAAACATGACAGAAGAAAATTGTGGTATAGAAACTTAGGAGATAAACCCATGAAAGTCAACAGTATCTTTGGATTCGATGTTTTTGGTTAAATCAAAAAGTTTAACACAATATGGAAATACAACGGTCAGAGAAATCTTGGCAAAACGAAGGGCATAAAGCGCAGTAAACTAAATAAAAGTAAAAATTTAAAAAATACATATCAGTGATCCTCTGCAATAACGAAACAACTCAAACCTTCATGTATTTGAGTTATATAGCGGATTAGGTCGATAAGTAAACAAATTTTTTTGTTATCAATCCACCTTGGGGCGCAGTTGTGTTATTGGTTAGAAAATGAAAGCTGGCAACCCATTTTCGGACTTATTTCGTTTAACTATTTAATAATAGTCACTTATAGTTTATGTTAGCTTTTCCGCAAAAAGGAACCCCTCGGTTAAGGTTTCCATAGAAGGCACTCACAATGGACAACTTTGTCTCCGAGTGAGAGTTTTTTAAAGCATCCGATTTTTATTGTCATCTGTATTTGATACAATTAACAATTAAAAGAATAAACCTTTAACAATATGTACAGAGTTTACCCAGTGGTACAACCATACCTTTCATGTGATCACCTTGAACACTCAGCACAATAGACCTTTTGTTGACTTCCTCTTCACTCGGGTGAAAAAAATTTCGGCAGATTATCATTTCATTTATAAAGGGGTCTGGGTGTGTTTCCATCAGCAACTGTGGGACGTAATATTGGGCATTTAAAATCAATCTGAGAGTTTTTAATTGAAACCTTTGGAATATTTCAATATAAGAGTTTTCCACGGTGCCTCACATCTGAATATCGTACGTCCAGACTGGTTTTAGAATTATTGAATATAAGAGTCGTTTATTGTCGACTGAAAACTGGAGGTGTGGGTTCATAAGCCACTGAATATTTCTGAGTTTTAGTCCGAGTTCCTTCGGGGCATGTCAACATCGTTTAGAATGACGTGTGGGCAGGTGTCGTGCTTAAGAGTGAATGTTATCTGCAAAGAATTTGGTAACTTCTCTGTAGAAGAAAGTCCATGAGTGTAGGCTAAATAGAGTATTGGGCTCATATCACTGCCTTGAGGTACAGCTGCTTAGCTTTCACGAAATGTTGCATACCCTGTTTGCAAAGAAATAGCATTTTTGTTTTTTGGTAAGCGTGAATAAATATATAAAAATTTATTGCCAGGGTGGTTGTGATTTTATTTATATTGTTCGAAAGCCGAGTGATTTCTGAGTTTGTAAACTTGTTCAATTGTGCTATAACCTTTTCTGAAGCCAAATTGGTGATTGGATATGAGTTTTTCTCTTCCATAATTGGAAGTACCCTTTTAAGGAAAATCAATTCCCTGACCTTGAAAGAAGTGGATAGTAAACCAATTTGACTATATGATTGAAATTTTTCTGCGCTTTTTCCTGGTTTGAGTATCATTTTTACTTGTGGAACTTTTCACCGGGGCGATAAAAAGCCTGTTGCGAGAACAGGATTAAATAAATGAATCAGAAAAGTGATGTACTCCGAGGGTATTTGCTGAAGTAAACTTCTTGGAATTAAGTAATATCTAGGGGATTTTTTGGGTTAAATTTTTGAATTTCTATTTAAACCAGGGACCGAAAACAAAAGGTACGATCGAAATTATATGCCTTTTTCGTAGTTTTGTTCCGAAGAACGCTTCAAAACCCAAACCAAAATGAGAACAAAATTATCGAGAACGTTATCAAATGGAATTGTATAAGAACAAAATCTTGTGGAACATTCGCAGAGAGAACAAATTGCGAACAATATTTTCGGGAAGATTTCTAAGTGAACATAATGGGAAGAAAAGTAGTCCGAACGTTTTGCCAAAAAAAACTGAAGGGGAACAAAAGTCTAAGGAACTTTCTGTCATATAACAATTTGGAAACTAAAGTCTCCTTAACTTTCTGCCAGAGAACGAAAGGAGAACATATTTTCTCTGAACTATTGGCAAAGAATTGAAGCGAGAATAAAATTTCACATAGCGTTCATTAGTTTGAAATGCTTGAATTTTAAAATTAATATTTAAAATTGATCCATAAATGGTAAATTATCTGGAAGTTGAAATGATCCAGATTTCCTCTGGCTTAGAATTAACATGTAGTTCTCACTGAAACGATTTTATATCCCAGTACGCAGACGCCTCTCTCACTCGTAACTTTAAGTTCTCAAAATATTTGTTCTCGTTTTGTTCTCTAACAGAACTTTTGTTCTTATTTGATGCTCCTTTAAAACGTTCTCGATGCTTTAGTTCTTATTTGGTTCTCACTGGAAACGTTCCCGAAAGTTTCGTTCTCGTTCCGTTCTGCTATTGTTCGCCGATATGAACATAAATATGTTTGTTTGCACTTCTAACTGCATAACACTTGATATGTTTTAAACACAAATATTGTTTAAAAAAAAAAACAAATAAAATTGCAACCACTTCTTTTCTCTCTTCAGGGCGTGACTTTTTGTGAGAATTTTCTTAACTTGACTTTTAAGTAACTTCAAGTGCTGTCTGCGTGAACGAAAAAAAATACAGCCACCGCATACCTTACATCCAGCCAGTGGGGCTTGCTAAAGTCAGTTTCCGTTCTATTTTACTCCCCTACGCGCCGTTCTCATGCGCCGCAGCTTCAGCGTTGATGCATTTCCTCAGCACACATAAATTTTCTCCCGCACTTGAGCATGTACAACAAATTCCCGCGTGCTTGCACCGCTACCCCTGAAACCTTGCCATTAAAATTGTTTGTATTTACCCAACAGCTTGAACGCCAACCCTTCACTTACGCGCTTCCGCATGCCAGCCAGCCAGCTAGCGGCGGCTAAAATAAAGCTTATGCAAATTGCAAGTGAACGAAAGTCATTACGTTCAGCACATTCCATTTTACTGTGTGACGATTTTTATGCGCGTGCGAAATTTTCGCAATGACAAGACGCATACATTTTCATGTTCGCTCTCTCTTTCGTCACTTCTCCCTAAGCACTGCATTTTTTTTTCGCAAGCGCAGTGTAGCTTGCCTTCATTTGCATGTGAGTGTTTGTGCTGTGCATTTCTTAGCTGTATTGTCATTGTGCGCAAATTGCAATTAAAGTTGAATTTTTTGCACTTTTCCCCAATAACAACAACGTGAAATAATGTTGCATTTTTTTCTTGTGTCTTTCACTTATTTTCCTTTCCATTTTACTCTTGCTGCAGTTTAACAACAAATAAATTCAGTGCGTTGTTAATTACTTAAACTGGCTACTACACACTGTGCTCTCATTAAATTGTGGTGCAACAAAAAAAAGACGCATACAATTAAAGTGACTACATATGTAGTTTTTTTTTTTTACAACCTACTGCAAACATTTGTACCGCATCTTGCTTTTGACAATGCGTTGTCAGTGGCGCGTAGCAGTTCCGCTGCACCTGCTGCTGCTTTATTCTGCTACTCCTATTTTACCTTTGGTTCGCTCCGCTGCCACTGACCTCCACAATGCAGACTTTACCCGCTATCGGCACCACTGTTTCCATCTTCACTTGCATACATACAACATATATGTAAGTATGTGTGTGTTAGGCTGTGTCATCCTTCTATTCAGTTTCAAGTTCAGCTGCATTTTTTGCTGAGCGAGTGTCCTCTGCTGCAAAGTCTTACTATAAGTTGTTGTCTGCTTTGTCCTTTATTCGATGATCCCTTTTTCATTGCTCTTTTTTTGGATCTTTTTTTCGGTACTTCGACTTCACCTCTCAGCACTAAATATCTCCTTCAAAAATTCCTTCTTGGCCTGTTTTGATGTGCTTGTCAATTTCGGGGGCGCTTGCGTCGTGTTGTTGATGGCTCTTTGGCTACATATGTGCGTATTATAGGCCTTCTTGATTGTTTGTGCTGCATCCTCCCTTTAATTGTCTGAATATTTTTAGGGTTTCATTTAATACTTTTAACTTACCTTATGCACTCAGCTTACTTCATTTCCTTTCATTGATTAGAAATATTTTACTTCGGAAATATGTACTTGTATAGTATACATGAAAATTTAG